GGATACCACCCTGTTCCTTACACCAAGTAAATTCCAGCCAGGCCAAAGAATGCAATGAAAGACCAAGAATGCAATGAAAGAAGTAGCCCCAAGAAGCAAAGGGAGAAAATAAAATTTCAGCATAAGAGACAAAATAAAAAAAAAAAAAAAAAAAAAAAAAAAAAAAAAAAAGATAAGAAAAAAACCTAGGAAAAAAGTTTTATTAATATAATAAGAAAAAGATCAACAACCACTAGAGAAACTGTCAAATGATGTGAACAGATCTGGCAGTTACAGAAAAGGAGCTGAAGATGTTTACCTTCAGCAATGTGCTGAGGAAATCACCAATTAAAAATACACAGATGTCAGCCGGGCACAGCGGCTCACGCCTGTAATCCCAACACTTTGGGAGGCTGAGGTGGGCGGATCACCTGAGGTCTGCAGTTTGAGACCAGCCTGGCCATGGTGAAACCCTGTCTCTACTAAAAATATAAAAATTAGCCGGGCGTGGTGGCAGGTGCCTGTAATACCAGTTACTCGGGAGGCTGAGGCAGCAGAATGGCTGGAACCTGGGAGGCGGAGGTTGCAGTGAGCCAAGATTGCGCCACTGCACTCCAGCCTGGGCGACAGAGCAAGAGACTCTGTCTCCAAAATAAACAAATAAATAAAATACAGAGATGTCAAAATTTTAAATTTAAAATGACACACCTTTGACTCAGCAACTCTACTTCTGTAAGTGTCTTTCCTAGACACACACCTGTGTGAAAAGTCATACAGACATGAATTTTACTACAGCCTATCTGCAACAACTCCTAAACCTCCACCAATGAGGCTGGTTAAATAAACCACAAGAGATCCAACAATGGATACTCTGTAGCTATTTCTGGAATTAGCCAGCTCTGTACATGGAAAGATGAAATGATCACCATTATTAATCAAGGTGCAGTACTGTAATGTACTAAGCTAATAAAAAACCCAGAAACATACAAACTAAATGGTTCCTGTGTGCATACGTGCACGGACCTCCTTGGAATGACACACAAGAAACGAGCTAACACTAGCTGCCTCTCGAGAGGAAAGTTGGGGCTAGAAAATAAGGCTTCCGGTTTAGATCTGTTTCCCGTGCCTTTCCGCCACACACATATATTGCCCATTAAAAAACTTCTAAAAAGGCCCAATTCAGGTGCGGATTTCTGAGCTCACTTGAGGCTAGCCTTCTGGCCCCCAAAGTCCTGGCTGGTCTTCCTAGACTAAAAGAACACACACAGGGTCCATTCAGTTCCAGGCAGCCTTGGTAACCCTGGAGGGCCTGCAGGCCAGCCTTGATGGTACTCGTGGAGTTCATTCCTGGGGTGGCTTTTAGGGGATTTCCCAGCAGGAGTCAAAATCTGCCTCCTGGCTAGGAGCTCTGCCCTGCACAGCCCCACAGGGCAGGTCGACCCCACTGTCAGCTGTGGTCCTGAAACCCTGGGTCTTCCCCTCTCCCCAAGATACACCTCTAGTCCTCCCTTCTTAGAAAGAATAGCCTCATTTTTCCCTCTACCATTCTCTGCCTGAAATAGTTTCAAGTCTGCTCCCCACTTTTTTTTTTTTTTTTT